TCTGTCAGTGTTCCGATGAGGGGGAGCAGAAACTCATCAATTTCCTTCAACCTCTGCGCCTCTGGTTGGGGCCCACACTCTAATGTGAAGAGGTTTTGAAAGAAGTCCCTTGCTATTTTTGTGCAAGATGCCATCGATGTAAATAGCAAGCCTTCGTGGACGTTTGGGTCCTCCAAGGCTTCTATAGTCGATCACCCAAGCTTGGTCTTGGCCATTGCGAAAAATCTTGTGTCCATGGTTCCTTCCGTGTTGTGTTTGTGCAGCTTTCCCCGGATCCTAATGCCCTGCCATCAGTGTTCCATTCGTTGTAGGATCTGGGTTTCTCACATTTGCATCTCGTTGGCTATTCCTGTCATCCTTGTGTCGGTACTCCTATCATCTTCTTGTTGTTGAAGATGTTGCAATCTATGTTGAAGGTCCATCTCTTCAGCGTTGCGTCAGGCTGCGAGCAGTTTTGAGTATTCGTTGCACTTGCGGCCAGGAATGCCAGACCGTTGTTGAACCATTGTATGTTGTCTTGGATTCGGTCTTTTTGCTGGCGCCAATAGGCCCAAACTTTTTTCAAATAGGTCTTGAACCGATCTATAGTTAGCACAGACGTGTTAAGTTTGTAGAATCCCCTCCCTTGATCTGGCTTCTTCTGGAATGAGAAGATGGCCAGACACATTGCATGGTCCAGCCCCGGGTGAGGGCTGCATGGGAATATTTATATCATTTGTAGAGCCCCTTGCAGTTCTTCTGAGATTAGAATTAGGTCAATGCGTGATTTGGACACGTTCTCTGTTTGGTTTTTGTGAAAGTAGGTGAAACTGCGTCGGGTAGGGAATGTTTGTTTGAACGAGTCTACGAGGTGGAGAGTTTGGATCAGATCAGCTATGGTCTTTTCGTTGCTCTCCACGTAGAAGGGGCAAGGGGATGGGATCTTCCATCTGTCTAACCATCGGTCCGGTGCTGCATTGAAGTCCCATGCCATTATTATTGGTATGCCAACTGGCAGTTTTGTTTTTAGTTTTTCAAAGAAAAGTTATCATTCTCTAGGCTCATTCGGTCCATATACATTCAGAATGCTGACCACTTCGATTTCCAACATCGCGAGGATGTACACCCATCTCCCCTCCTCTTGGTCCGTCTCCCAGTTGAGCGGCTCCACCCTAGACCCCGGAGGGAGCCAAATAGCCACTCCTCCACTACTTGGTTTCGGGGCATGGGCTCAGAATGCTTGGTGTGGCCAAATCTCTTTATGCACATGATTGTGTTCCAAGGTGTCTGCCAAATGAGTTTCTTGTAGGCATACGACATCCGCCCAATCCCTTCCTTCCACCCCTCTCAAAAGCTCCATGATCGCCTTCCGTTTAGTCAGTTTTGCAGATGCCAGTCCATTTACGTTTAGTGACCGCAGATCTAGGTCTGCAGTTTGTTTGTTAAGCTTCAATTGTTTGTCCTTATTGTACAGCACGTCAATCACATTCATTTCTTATCTCTCTCTTCCTTTAAATTGGGATTGGTTGTTTCTTCTTTAAAATGGCAACCATGGCTCTTTGTCCAGTGGGCCTCCCTTCTGCAGGGTGCCATTTGTTAATAGTTTTATTAAAAAGGACCTAATGTCTTCTTCCGACCAGGGATCACAAGTTTTAATCTTCAGTAATTGCAAGTCCATTATCATTCCCTGGTTCCACTTGTTGTGTATCACCGACGACATTCCCAGCATCGTCACTTGTTCGGGGATCAGCAACCTGTTTCTTTGTCTGCCCCGATTCTCTCAGTGCCTCCTCCACATGTTATTGCGGTTCCTTTGTTTCAAACGACAATATCCGCTCCTATGCCTCCTGCAGACAGTCCAGTTGCCTGCAGGCAACCACGATACCCTGCAGCGTTAGATATTCACGACTCACCTGCACAACACAATGTGGTCCGTACCCAGAGTACACTCCCGACTCCAGGTACAGTCCCTACTCAGGATGCAGCCGTAGCCCGGAGTACACTTTCGACTCCATGTACAATCCCTACTTAGGATGCAGCCCTAAACGTTGAGGGATTGGAACATGATCTGCCCAGATTGCAGTTGACCCCACAAGGTGAAGACCAAATGGGGGATCCGCAAATGGTTGACCAGCATTGTTCGGATAAACCACAAATTTGTGCTCCGCCACACGCAGACCACATGGGTGATTTGCAAATGACTGACCAACAAACAACCCAACACAGTTTAAGCTTGCAACACCAACTGGGTGATCTGCAAATCGTTGGCCTACATCCAACAAACCAGCCTGAGAACCTCACCAATCTCTGTGGTCTGACGACAACTAATATATATCTTCACATTCTCCACCGCCCATTTTATACACCATCAGACTTCCTTGCAATCGCCCTTCAGCTTGATGCTGATGTTCCCCAACTACAACCAGAGGATTGTAATTATACCAGCGAAGGAGGCTTTACCATTACTGTCCTACAAATAGCAATGAGGGATTGTCAACTTGAACTACGCAATGCTCAACCAGGTGAGTGGTTTAATCCTCCATCCCACGGCCCTGGCCATTACATTGCCATTGTACAAGACTCTGGCCACAGGGAGTTGTGGGACAACGGCACCATGGTCCATGCCATGATTGGTGTCATTGATTTCTTACAAAATGATGTTGTTTTCTTACCACAACAAACCGTCCGCAATCTCTTTTATGTTGCAGATCATTCCTATGGCCCCGTGCTACAACAAGACAATGTACCAACACTCTGCGACCTTCTCCTTTGCACAGCCACAAACACTTTTACACTCGGTTGTAGCTGCCATCGTCTCTGTCACAATCAGCACAATGACATGGTTTCTGCATCCGTGTGTGTAGAGGATTGTCCCACCGTTCCTGACTGCAGGCACCCTCTGCATCCGGACACTATATGTCCATTTTGCAGCTATGGGCGCTATACCGAATGCATGCTTTTCTGTGGCGATCGTTCTTCCCTCATTTTGGCCTGCAATCGAAATGCCATTTGTCGGGGGTGTATGGTGGGCATGCTCAATCCCAGCCGTCGTGGCAATCGTTGCCCTAAGAATGCTCAGCTAGGTCTTCCATGTGCTCATCCACCTCATCCTTACAATGTATGTCCTCTCTGTCGTCAAGGACACACTCATTCTTGAGCTTTTTCTTATCCTCTTTTGCCTTCATCTTCACTCCACACTCCATACTTTCCCTTACTTTCCCTTTATCGTTCTTTGTTTGTCTGCTCTCCATCTCTCCTCCCTGTGTTTATTTCCTCCCCCTTCACTCTGCGTGTTTCTCACAGCGTACAAGTGGGCTGTTATGGCACACGGGGATGGGGGCAGCTCTCGCTCACCTTTATCAACATGGCGACCCTTGTACGTGAGAGGCATGGTGAAGGGGGAGTCAAAAGAAGAATGAGAAAAATAAATAGTTTCAGTGCCCTTCATGTTTGCCTTGTTTTTTTTAACTTTTATTTTTGTCGTATGTTTTCGCAAAGTGCACTCTTTTAGTTCACAGTTATGTGACAATATATAGTCACAAAACTATTGACTAAGAGCGTAAGCACGTGAAGTAGAAGAAGAAATCAGATGAGCGAAGAAAAGAAAAATGAAAGGACAGACGGTCAAAGAGACAGACAAACCAGAATGACACAAAACAGTGTCCTCTTATTCTGTGTTTCACAGTATTATTATTTCTTTCAGTGTTTTACAAAAAAAAATTACACTGAATCAAAGGATAAAAATCAAAAACAAAGACACATTGAAATCATTCAGTTTCTCAGTCTTCTTAACGCCTCCTCCACTATGCCTCTAACCGAGTCTAACGTAGAACGCTCGCCCCGTTGATGAAGTTGAGCGTGAGCTGCCCCCATCCCCATATGCCATAACAGCCCACTTGCACGCTATGGGAAAGAGGCAGAGTGAAGGAAGAGGTGTTAAACACAAGGAAGAGAGGAGCAGAAAAGGAAAACCGATAGGCCGAGGGAGAAAAAAAAAAAAAAAGTGACCCAAACATCTTCTTTCTTTCACTGCATTCTTCTTTGTTTCACAGTTTTGCAGTTTTGGTGAAGAGTCTACCACGTTCACTTTTCAGCGCACCTGCACTTCCTTCTTCATTTTTCATTTTCATTTTCACCCTTCGGACTTTTCTTTTGAGGGTGTTAGGGTGCAGGGTACAAACAAGTAAGATGACACAAACTAATGTTCTTCTTTTACTGCATTCTTCACTGTTTTGCAGTTTTAGTGAAGGGTTCCCCACCTTTGTACATTCTTGTACACTCTTTTCAGCGCACCTGCACATTTTTGCCAGGGTGCAAGGTACGTCTAAGTAAGACCCTCACGACAGATTGGACAACTGTCATAAGGATGCAGGCGATGGTAGCAGCCCTCCCGCTGATCTACAGGACGAAAACCATTCAGGTAAGCAACTTCGTCACAGCAGGAGCCAGGGCGGCTAGCATTAACCACACCTTTGAAGCATGCACGACATAGGGCATGCACGGCAGAGGGCAGGCCATGACGATTGTGGGCGTTCACCATCACAGTCAAGTGCACATTCACTATAGCGCCCACATGCACAGATGGGACATACTGCATCTGGATGTAGAGGATGTTCACAATCCGGATACAGGTGGCATCCCTGCCGACAACGGGCCCGAAAAATTATACGGTTGTAGTGATGTCGACAAAGTCGATGCTTTCCACAACCAAGTGTAACTGTGTCAGT